ATACCCAGAACTGGTGGGAGGAGGGCGTGCCAGGCTAGTTGTGGTGGCCATAGAACTAGGGGGCAGGTGGAGCAGTGAAGCAGCAACACTGCTCCGATTGCTGTCTCGCCACAAAACTCAATCCATCTCCATCCTCCTGCGTCCTGCTGCCCGCCACGCTTGGATTTCGCGGTGGGCGGCCCACTTGTCTGCGGCAGCCATGCGATCTTTCGCATGCAGTCTCCTCCACCTCCCCGCTTCCACCACCACCAACATTCTGACGGCCCTGAACCACCTTTGGGTGACCTGCTCACACAACACCCCCACGGCAACCCCACCACCAGCCTTCTCCCCCCCCACCCCCGTACATAAGTGGATTTTGCATATCTGGAGACTGGCCAGTATAAAAGCAGTCTGCTGCCCATGCACATCTGGAGACTGGCCAGTATAAACACAGTCGGACACTGGATGTTCTGCGGTCAAAAAGGCGCGTGGAAAAAAAAATATTGCCTAGGCGCTTTTGCACTGTACTTCATGGCCCTCTGGCTCGGGTTGGCACCGTGCTTGGATTACTTCGTCTTCAAGTTCGGGCTTGCGGTTTGCTTGGAGTCCTTCGCCTTCAATTTCGGGTTTGCGCTTTCCTTGGTGCACATTGCTACATGTTCGGGCGTAGCAATTGTACTAATTCGTTTACGACCGGAACGATTTGCCCAACAACAGGTTGGTGGACGCGATCCACTTGCGGAGATGTCCAAATCGGGTTCAAGGTCGCTGCACCCATTCCAATGTGGGATGGTCACGCAAGCAAATTGAGGGAGTTCAGGAAAATTGTCCAGAAGTGGTGGCTGTTGGCAAGCGATTCGGAGAGGTCCAATTTTCTCAAGTTGGCTGCAAGGTTTGGGTGCGCCAGAACTACGCGCCCTTGAGTTCCAGCCGGAGGAACTCGCTTATGCTCTGGCTGTGGAACCGACAGGCCTGGCCAATCAGGAAGTGATCCAAGAGCGTCCTCCGTTGTATGATGCAAAGATGAAATGGTTGCTCGGTGAGCTTCGATGATGTTGAGAGCGCGTTGTTCTTCAAACACACCTTGAACCTGACAAAGGCACAGAAACAATTGCTAGAAACGACTTTGTGTGGTATGCAAGAGTCGTACGTTGACACGGAGAGTGAGGCCACCAGGCTCCTCAAGAGGATTCCTGGCACTGGATTCAACACTACAACATCGTCCTCAAGGCTGTAATGTTGAAGAATTCCGCGCGTTGGAGAGGCAGTTGGACGTGAGGCTTGCAGTCAGATTGCGGCAAAGAAGAAGGACGGAGGATACAAAGGACCCAACTTGAATGCCAAGTCCGCCTTTGACAGCAAGGAGCGACAGAAACCTTCCAAGTCCACAGGCACTTGCGTTTGTAGTCAAACATGATCCGCACTGTCCAGGCTCCTCCAAATCAACGTCGTACAGCACAACTCTCCCGAACGTTCGCTGCGCAGTATTTTATTAGAGCTTCGTTTTTTACGAGGGCAAAGGTTTCCCTTGCAAATTTTGCGTTTTCCGAGACCGAAGTGCTATGTGTTTGTTTTGCAAGCGGCTCAACCTTTGGAAATAAAAGACGGCGCCCTGGCCGGTTCGAGAATGTATATCTCCCCACCAAACGTCAAGAAATTATGTTGGAAGTCGGTGGTGGGTGGAACGTGCGTGCTGGGTCACGGTTTGAAAAAAAATATTTCCGGCTTTCGCTCCCGAAATCCCCTGACAACACTGCTGTGTCGCGGCGACGCCCCGCCGACGTTTATATCCCGGCCATGGCCGGAGCACCTGTTCAAAGCGACGGGGGAGCCTTGACCTGGGCTCACACCGCCAGGGCCGCTGCGGCAGCGTATGCTGTGCACAAACATCGGCATCTCCAAACCGGTGCAGAATGCCACCGACAGGGGGCCACTTTTATGCCCATGCTGGCTGCCGCGTAAAAGTTTTCAAACACATGGCCCATGCAGCTCCAGCCCGCTCCAGCAGTGCACTGGCGAGTCCTTCAGCAACTTCTGCAAGGACTTTGTGTGGTGGTTCGCCTGGCACGCCAGAGCTGTTCTCCGGCGATGTTCTTAAGAATTGGCTCACTTTGGTTGTTTGTGCGTTTTTCCCCTTTAATTTGTGGCCGTCCGCCGTCCGCCTGCCTCTGCTTTGTCAGCTCTAGTTCGCCATCGGCTGTTTGGGCACATCCATGAGCTTCAAATTGTATGTTGCACCAGGAATTGAATGATCTGAAGCGGCACCGAGTTTATTTGCGGTGTTTTGCCAACTGGCCTCGGCCGGGTGTTTTTTTCTCCTTTCTTGCCGCGTTGGTCAGCCATTGCAGCGTGCGAATTGATTGCAAAATATTTCAAACGCAGGTACCGTTAGCAGACTTCATGGTCGATTTTAGTTATGTTGGTGCCCCAATTTTGCGTAGCCAAGGGTTTACTGACCTTTGGCTGAGTCCATTTATGGAAAAAACAATATCATTTTTTGCTTCGTAGTTTGAAGTGCAGGCCTAAACTATTGTAATATCCCCGTTTGGGGCTCCTGGATGAAAACGGTGAGCTGGAGTCTCATTTTTAAACACAATTTTAGCCAAATTTAGGTCCAAAAATGTTAGGCCTCAGTTTTTTATCTTTTGGCACCTTTTAACATATTTTAGAATTTTGATTTTAAATAAGCCATGAAGCCAAAGGATTTCATCCGAGGGAACACCTCTTGAGAGCATTTTTGCAATAGGTTGGGCGCACTAGTTTCAACCATTGAAACTTACTGAGAACCATTTTTGGCCTGAAGGTTGCGCACAAGGTTTTCATTCGACCGTGTCTTCTTGCAAAACTCGACATTTTTGCCGCCCCTACGGTGAACATTGAAATTTTTAAAGGTGTACCTTGGGAGGTTGGATGAGGATGGGTTTGCAAAACTGAGTCAGTAGTCGTTTGTGTTGTATCTTGGGACGTTGGTACCGGATGGGTTGGCTCACATGCGTGGTGTAAGATGGCAAGCTGTTCCGGCAAAGTTCAAAACAGGGATGTGTGATGAAAAAAATCGGATCTGAAATTTGTAGTGTGTTTTGGGACGTTGGTTCAGGATGGGTTGGCTCACATTCGTGGTGTAATATGGAGAGCTGCTCCGGCAAAGTTCAAAAGAGGGATGTGTGAGATGAAAATTTTGGGGTCTGAGGTTTTGTGGTGTATCTTTGGAACGTTGGTTCAGGGTTGGCACACATGCGTGGTGTCGTCTGTTCCGAGTTGTTCCGGCAAAGTTCAAAACAGGGATGTGTGAGATGAAAATTTTCGGATCTGAAATTTGTAGTGTGTCTTGGGACGTTGGTTCAGGATGAGTTGGCACTTGTGCGTGGTATAATATGGAAAGCTGCTCCGGCAAAGTTCACAAGAGGGATGTGTGAGATGAAAATTTAGGGGTCTGAGGTTTTGTGGTGTATCTTTGCCACATTGGTTCAGGGTTGGCACACATGCGAGGTCTAATCTGTTCCGGCAAAGTTCAAAATTGGGATGTGTGAGATGAAAATTTTCGGATTGAAATTTGGATTGTGTCTTGGGACGTTGGTTCAAGATGGGTTGGCACACATGCGTGGAAAACAGGGATGTGTGAGATGAAACTTTTCGGATTTGAAATTTGTAGTGTGTCTTGGGACGTTGGAAAAGCGTTTCCAAGTATTTACATGCCAAATACATGCCAACAAGGCATCAGTTGAAAAACTTTGGCAGACACAGAAGCTGGGGGGGATGAAAAAGATGTGGTTGACCGTTCTCTGGGGAAGTTTTGATTTTATAGTTTAAGGTTTTTTTGAACATACGCTGAACACTGCTGTTTTCATCTCTTGTGCCATGTTTATTTTTAATTTTCAACATACCCCAGAGACACTGAATTTAATCTTTTGTACCTTGATTTTTCATTTTCAGAAATAGGGGTGGGGTCGGCTTTTCATCGTTTCACTGTGAACGGGCACTTTTTTTTTGCTCATACCTTGGCCCTCCAGGTTTTTAAACTTGGTGTTTGGGATGAAAACCTGGTGCTGCACCCTAAGTTGAACGCCCAACGGGGATATTGCAATGTATAATGAAAACAGTGGAGTTTTGTCCACGCTTGTTCAATAGTGAAAGGTGCCAATGTTCGCGCCCAATGGTATGAACAATTTATTATCACCAATGGTTAGTGAAAAAATCACCCATTTACTAACTATTTTGGGGTTCAGTAGGTGCCAGGACTTTGACCCATTGCCATGTGAATCAACATTTGGACGTTTAGACAAACAGTTTGCAGCGGGGGTTGCCAGACGTGGTCATGCGATTCCAACAGTTTTTGGGACTTTGTGGGCAATGATTTTCGCCTGCAAACCAAATGTGGGAATGTTGCAGAATGCAATAGCATGGACATGTGTTTGAAGACATTTTGTTCTTTTTGTTTCGCATGGAACTTTAGGTCGCAGAATTTTCAATATTGATGTGTGCGCCCTGGCGGATGTAAACGGAAAATAATTCCTTGAATGTCAGGGCTGACTTTGAAATCAATCCTTGGGAGGGATCTGGTTGGAATTTGGTAAGAACCGATGTGTTCAACAAAAATTACAATGCAGCAATGGTTGGAAGGTCCCACGGAAGGCAAGGTTTGACCTTGCAATTGCGAAATGCAGTTGCAACGGAGACGCAGGTATGACCACGAATTACGAAACTGTCAACATGTCAAGGCAACGAGTTCAAACATGACAAACATCATGTCTTTCTGGTAAAGTACAGGGTCAATACGGGTGGAAACTCTGCGTGCACATTGCTCAAGAAAACTTTGTGTGGACAAGCTAAACATTTGCATTAATCAAACCGAAAAACAAACCGATGGTGTGCCAATGCAAGACATTGTTCCCACATAGTATGCCAAAAAACATCGGGGTTTGTGCTTGGACCACAGGCTTCACATATCATGCTTGAACTTTTGGTGGAGCATGGTGAAAACAATGAGTTCGTTTTTAATTTTTTGACACCCTTAGCGCACAACACCTGGTTTCATCATTTGAAATGTCGCGGCTGCATTGTTTTCCGAAGTTTTTCCGCTTGGCAGTTGTTGTTGTGGGGCCCCCCAGCCAGCATATTCGGCATCATGAAATCATGTTGATCATCGTTTGCACAGTGTTTGCCACTTCTGGTTGCGGGTGAGGCATGGGCAGGGGCAACAAGTTCGTGTTTTTGTGGATGTTGGCACCTCGTGCAGCAGTTGGGAGTTTGCAGAACCCCACGCTGCGCCAGCAGCTGGGCTGATTTGGAGGACAGGCCAAGAACAATTAGTGCATTCCATCGCTGATTCAGTGTAGAAATGTGGCGTGGCAAGTGTGTCCCATGCAAATTTTTTAAATTGAATGTCACAGGATGACATCATTAACAAAACAAAACATGGCATGAACCGCCAAAAAATGAACGTCGGGGCGGGTTGTTCAAAATAATTATGTTTCCGTTCCTTCCTTGATGGTGTGTGTGTTTCATGCATCCATTTATGTATTCCTTGATTCATCATTCGTTATGCCTTCGTTCTTCATTTGTTTGGTCGGTTGGTTGTCCGGTCATTCAGTCGTTCGGTCATTCAGTCACTCAGTGAATTGGTCATTTGGTGCAGTCATATTACAACTGACAGGCGATGCGCCCATGTACCTCCAGTTTTTGTTGTTCTTGGCGCTTTGTCAGGAACGCTTACCCTCCAGTTTGGTACCAGAACCGCGGCTCATTGACTCCGTCCTCAAACCAGAGAAACCAAACTTGGAAGGTGCCATGGAGTTGTGTGGACACCAGAATTTCAACCTTCACGTTATATAACAATAATGCGATTGAAACAAGGAGTCACTTGCTTGAAATCGTATCTGGCGAGGCCATTTAGTTTTATTCCGCGAACGAAATGGCTGGTGCCCCTATTCGGAGCGTGTGTGGCTGGCAATGGAGGCACCTAATCGACTTGAGTTGCTGCGAGGTCACCGCAATTTATCTTGGTTACTTGCAAAAAATTGATGATATCTGCTACCATAAGCAATGTTGTAATTGTACTCACCTCATTTGAGAACGTAGTGATCACCCAAGGTTACCCAACACTTGCAACCGTTGGAGACCGAGTCGCTGGTGAGGCCAAAGGCTTGGAGTATACTACTGTCCTTGTGGACAACTATGGCTCGCGCGCTGCGTGGATTGGAGGGCAAACCCCTCAGGTGCAATGGCCCAGCGGCAAACGGCAAGGTGAGTCGTTGGACATTGTCAAGGCCCTGGAACCTTGGATTCATTGGGTGGTTGAAAAAAGGCAGAAACAAGGGGTGTATGAACAAAAAACATCGAGAGAGAAAACTAACGGTAGAGTAGGAGGTATGTACATCGCCGATTGCTTCTAAATGTTTGGCATGTTTCCACGTTTGCATGGCTGGCTTAGGTCTCCACTCCACCACATTTTTTCCTTTTGGGTTCAAAGCATCAGTTGGACGGGCCTGCAAATTCTGCAGTCATCAACATGGGGTAGAAGGAAAAAAACAATTATAATTTAGTTAACAAGGTTCAGCATTCAGAGTTTGGTAATGGAACAGCAATAACAGCGGTGGAGAATTCTGGATGCAGTTTGCTCCTTCCAATGGCTGTTGTGGCCTCCCTTGATGGTGCTGCCATCCCAGGATGAAGAATTTCCGGATACCCTGGCCTTGTGGCCAGACAAAGAGGTCACGGAGTTAGTCAACGCCTTTCGTAGCACCTTTCCAAAACAGACCAGGCGTGGTGCTCCGAACAGGGGCTCTGCATCTGAGTGCATTTTTCATAATTTTTCCTCAGGAGTTTGTCATGTTTCATTTTGGGCTTAGCTCCGAAAAAAGGCATAGAACATATTTAAATGCTGGAACATGATTGATGTCTTTCACCATGGAATTTGGGGCATCTACAAACCCGTTTGATCGGTGGGCAAGGCCATCGTCCCGAGCAGCCTTCCTCTTCAGTTGGAACGGTCCCGTGTTTCGCTCCGAATTCGAAAAGACCTTGGACAAGACCGAGGCTGTTGATGCCTTGGCGAGGGCATGGGACTAAAAAGATCCAAGAGAGCATCCGAAAACAATATTTTTAATCAACATTATTCAACAACTTTTGCCTTGCTGGGGAGGGATGTTACTTGGAACCCAGAATGGAATTCGGGTACAAGTACCTGTTCATCATCATGAGATTGATACGACCTTGATGCAACGTTTACTCCCCAGGAGCTTTTGGGCAAGCACGGAGGGCCTTTCTTCCATGGCAAGCAGGCAGGGTGGCCAGCAAAGTTCAAGCAGAAAGATGGCCATACCTTGTCATATGTACATGTGTATATATATATATATACATACACACACACATATATATATATATGTATAGATTTAGCTTTCATGGAAACTGTTTGCCTGTCCTGTTTGCTTTCTGTGCCGTTTGCTCTTTGATTGTTACTTCTCTAAAAGATATATCCTATGCGGAAACTCTGGTTGCCTTTTTGCAGTTGTAAGCAGTGGTAAGCAAATTTGATGCATTGGAATTGCGCATATGCCAAAGTAGCAATATTATGCAATATTCCAATGCATCAAGGAACGATGCTGTAGCTAGCTGGCAAGTATCAGATCCATATTCTCAAACTTAGGATGGCTAAGATATCAGAGCCAATTGTGAAACATGCCTGGCGGTGATAAACTTGGTCCTTTGGGTGCTTTGCCTGGTGTTTTTTTTGGGACCTCATGGTTGTCCCGTGCAGATCTCTGCAGCAGACTGCGCCTGGGCACCCTTTTTGGAGCGCTATGCGGCACAGCTGCCTTTACTGCATAGTGGCCTCCGACCCTACGACGCTCGGTTGAGAGAACTTGCTGGGCAATGTGTTGAATCAGCAGCAGCTTCTTTGTACAGAAAGTGTTTCTCATTCCATGTTGTGCTTGGCACTCGTGCCTCTGCAGGATCCTAGCCGATGGCCTCGTCTGGGTGCTTGGTATGAAGCCATGGATGCAGAGGTCCCAGCCTACTCGGCCCGCGTGCGCGGGGATGAAGACTCTTGGAGGAAGGTGCTGGCCCAGGCAGCGCGCCTGTCTTGTTGGGTGCCTGGCATAGACCAAGACATCCTGAATTGTCGGTTGCACTGCTGCACTTGCCAGGCAGGGTATGGCAATGCAGGTGTGCCACCTGACCTAGTCGAGGCCCACTTTGTTTTGTTGTGCCTTTTTGTTTCTCATCTCCGTCACCGCAGGTGCAGATATTCATTTTCGATGGCATGACGAGATCATTGGCACCATAGATAATTATATAACCACTTCTTAGTAAGAAATTAAGCAGTTCATTGGTGGCCAATGCCAGGAGGATGCTGAGCACCCGCAACCAGCTGTTGGAGCATGGGCCACCTACGCTGCCCAGAGGCCCTTTCTGGCACCCACACCTGCGGAAGAGGCAGCGGCGCGAATCGTGCGAAACCGTTGCTTGGACTTTGGAGGTTGGCATGCCCTTTGCTATGCAAACATGACTGGCTGGGAAATTGAAATGCTGGAATTCGACCTTTGTCTATCAATGGAAGTTTAGTTTTCAAGTGCCAGCTTCTATTGCGGGAAAGTGCGGTGGGCAATCGATCATTCCCCGAAGCTTACGTGGGTCTGACCTGTTTTTACCTGAACTTTTCGATTCTGAGGTGAAGCTTTGGCCAAAGATGCCATGGCCCAGGGTGTTCAGCAAAGTGAAGTGGATGAAGGCTTGCGCGCGGTGGCTGCCGCTCTTCTGGAGGCTGGGGATCGGGGCATTGGGGCTTTTGGGCTTGAAGGGACCACAGCTTTGGCCATCTTTGGCACTTCAAGACCTGATTTTGGGGTAGAGCCAAGACCACTTCGGCAATTTCGCCTCCAACCCTCATCGACACAGAAATTTGTTTTCATTTTGGCACAGGATTCGCCGCCGGATGCATCATCTTCCATGGCAGCAGTGGCTGCGTACCTCGATGATCGATTGTGTGTTCCGCGGGACATGGGTCTGCTTCCGGCCAAAGCCATCCGCCAATTGGCGTGCAGCCTGAAGTGACCTGTGCAGATGTGGCCGAACATTTGAAGAAAAAAAATGGGGTTGAGGCGGTTTGGTGCTCTGAAACTTCCCCTGAATTACTCCTTGTTGCAACTGTGCATCTAAGCCCTAGAGTCTGAATCGAACACTTTACTGAGGATAGCAGGTGGTGGTAACCATAGCTGGAGGGTTGCAGATAATTGGTGATGTTTCCGCTGCAGATGGCAACAGATCTTTTGAGAGGAAGGAGAGTGGTGGAGCCGTTTTGGCTCATAAGCTTAGAAAAGGCTAAAGTGCCGCCTGACCAGAAAGAGTCAGGCAGCACTTGGGTTTGCGTGCTTGTCTCACCATCGAGTTTCTTCGGGATATTATTATATTGGTTTGTTCCAAATTGATCCTCAAATCCTTTGTTCTTCAGGTTCGAAGTTACTGTCACTGTGTTTGTATAGAACACACACAGGTTTAGGCTTAGGATGCTGCATTTCACCCCAGAACCCAAATGCTACACTATCCATATATATTTTTACACCAAAGCGTGAACATTTTTTCCTTGGATCAGGAGCAGTATCAAGATTTCACGCAAGAGAAACCTGTAGGATTTTAACAAAAAGTAGTTGCTCAGGGGTCGGCTTTCTCTTGCATATTGACTCTGATTTTTCCGGCTCTTGGCCTGCAGGTTCATGGAAACAAGAGGAGGACGGGTCCTGGGAATGTTTTGCTGGTCCTGAAAGATGAAGCTGGAGGGGATCATCCTTCAGTGCGAAAGGTCCCCCCCAGGCTTTTGTTGGCCTGAAACAATTGCAGATCCCATGATGACTCTGCCAGTTTGCTAGAAAGTTCTAAGATGTACTGAGATCCCAATCGCTATTTATCGCCCAGGACGCATCGAAGGTGCTGTGCAAAGGCTGCTGGAGGCAGGAACTGGCTGGAACTGGCTGGAACTGGCTGGAACTGGCTGGAACCATCTGCCTAGACTCCGGTGAGCTGAAAACTGCTTCCCGGCACAGGGCCCAAAGAGTTCAGCACCTGAAACGCCGTTGGGGACCCCAGCAAAATGCTTGCCAGAAGATATCAGAATCAACTTACTAGTTGTGACAATGTACCCGCACGCAATCCTGGCCAACCCATGAGGCTGAACAAATTGTTCAGCGAGCCTGGGGGCCCTGGTTGAGCTGTTTCGATGTTTGCATTGGAGCATCTCTCGTTTGTTATTGTTGTTATAGGTTGAACACCTTTTCCTAGGGGGAAGACCGTGGAAAGGGAAAAATTGTCGGCTGAGGGTGACTGCCGGCTCTCATCCTCAAGATGAAGTACAGCGCGAAAAGACCTTCGTGCCCGACTCAGCAGTTGAAGCTTGCTGGAGGGGAAGAAATCTGATCGACATCCTTAAAATGTTACCGTCCCAGAGAGATGGAGAGAGATATATGAAATGTGCCTGGTACTTTTCATTTGTACCATTTTGGGCAAAGGGCTCTCGCAGGCGGGGGTCTCCTTTTGCATCGATTCACAATTGATCGTGCGTGATGATCAGCCTCAATGTTAGCTGGTGGCCGATTCAGATTGTCGTTTGTTATATAACAAGTTTAAGCATTGCGTGCCATGCCACGCTCCGAAACTTAGGTGCCCTCCCGGGAGCTTTTGGAGGAGCTTGAAGCCCTGACAGTGGAGGTGCAGGATTTGAGTGGCTTCCCCACGACGTGAGATGAGTCTGCTGGATCAGCGGCGAGTGGGTCCGGAATTTCTACAACCCACCTGTTCCAAAAGCTGTCGGAACTTTGATTGGTAAGCTCCGGGCGTGGCTCGGGGCAATTTTCTTTCCTGGGGGTATGTGTATTCGATGTATGACTTCTGGTGCTGGACCGGCCAGGCGGGACCCACCTTGGAGATTCTCAAGGAGCAAGCGTGTGGCTCACAGGCGGGGGCAGTTCAACAGCTTGATTCGCTCGATCCAGTTGATTCTCTGTTGTTTGGGCAGATGCCTCATGCCAGAGTCCCTAGCTGGTACGATATGCTTCAAATAAGTGAGATTGGTGCTTTGACATCTTGGTGCAGTTTCACTTTTCACTTTCATGTTTGAATTTGGCATGGTCTCAGCCTGCAGCCTGAATCACAGGCCTCAGCAGCGTTTGAGTGCAGGGAAACAAAACAAACAAAATCATGATATGCTTCAAATATGGTCCATCATAGAATCATATGAATCATATGCCTTCAATAGCCTGCCCCATGCCAATCTCGTCCCAGTGGATGGTAAGAAACCTTTCCCCCTGGTCAGATCAATGGTGCAGTGTTGGAAGCTGCAGCTGTGGCTCAGCCCAGGCTGGATCCAAGATCTGGTCAGTGATGGCAGCTGTTTCCTGCTGTTTGTAATATATAATTTTCCCTAAATAAATGCCTCCCAGAAACCTGGATCTCTTCATTTGGGATGTTGGTTTTTGGGCTTCTGAAAAATCTATAGGAATGGGGTTGGAAAGTTGGTTCATGTTCGTTCCTTATGGCAAATGAATTGTTTCATTTTCTTATCCTAGAGGATGAGTTGGTTGCCTGCTTGCCTTGATCTGCAGGATGGAAGCCATCAAGTGGTACGGCCTAGCCTGTTTTCTGACATTTCTGACCTTGGTCCTAGTGACACAAGTGAAAGAATGGTGAATTGCCACGCTGGTGCATTTTGCTCCAGTGGGTCCCATGCATTGAAACCTTTGTGAGCCAGGATGAGCAACCAGTTTGGATGCTCAGAAATGGGTGATTTTTCTTTCACTTTTCTGTCCAGAGGTGTCTCTCACGCACAGGAACAAATTTTATGCGAAGTGCTTGTCATAAAGGGGTCCACTCAAGACCTGTCAGAGGCAACCTGTAGTGATACACATATCAAAGGCAACGCAGCGAAGTAGTCAGGTTTGCAGCCTTCGGTTATCGTGACGAGTGGCTAGCAGATGCTCTGCGTCTCAGACCTGTGCTGTGCTGATCCAGCTGTATAGACACAACAGGGAGGGGTGATGCGGTGGGGAAGCTTGACCGGACATCAGGCCATCCTGTACATGGACCGACTAGCGGTGCAAATGTACAAGAGCCAGGGCCATATCCGTTCTCTTTCGTCCTCTGTGGCCATGCCATCTTGTCTTTCTTGTGGGTGGGAATCAGTTGCTAGCATCTCTCAGGTGACAATTTCCTTTCTTTGGGTGTTGCCGGTGCCTGAGTGCTGCCTTGGTTTGGCCGAACAAATATCCAGGCTGTTCGGATTTCTTTTCTTCAAGCTTTGACACCCAGCGAACTGCTACTCCCATGGCTTGGGGGGAAACTTTGCTCAAGCATTGAATGGTTGTTGGAGAGGCTGCTCATGTGAAATCCGCCCGCTTGCGCTGTTTGGGATCAAGCGCTTAAGCTTCCATCCTTCGGTCGGGTCGGGGGGTCCTTTGATGATGTCCGGCCAGGCAGCCTTTAGCATCCTGGAGGAGCAGATGGATGAGAAGTATGAGCCAACTCAGCAGGAAATCAAAGACTACGCTGAGTGGCTGGGGATTGCGGAAGGCGACACCCACCTGCTGTGGATCGCTCGCCAAGGCTTGAAGACCCCCTTGCCCAAACCCTGGCGGCCCTGTGAGGCCTCAAGTGGGGAGATCTTCTTCTACAATCCTGTCACTGGGGCAAGTCAATGGGATCACCCGTGCGATCAGGAGCTTAGGCAGTTGTATCTGCAGGAGAAGAAGAAACAGAAAGAACGGGAAGAGCGAGAAAAAGACAAGGATGGAAAGGAAGAGACCACATCTGTGAGTTCAATTGGCGAGGAGGTGGAGGAGAAAACACCACCTCCAACTCATGAGACTGAAAAGCCAAAGCCAAGTGCGGCAGAAGGTGAAAGTCCACAGAAAAGATTGAGTTTTAGCGACCCTCACAGTTCAGGATCTCCAGATCTATCCTGTCCTGAGTCTGACAAAACTCTAGCTGCTGAGTTGAAAAACTCCACAGGGGACCTAAAAAAGATGATCCCCGAGCGGCCCAACAAACCGCCCCCGGCCAAGCTCCGGCCGCCGCGGCCCAAAACCACCAGTGATATGGAAGAAGCTTTTTGCAAGTCTCCCAGCCCTGCGCGGGCACGACGTTGCCATAGTCCACCAGCTCAAAGTCCAGGGCCAGATCCCTCTCAGCAGTCTCCGGGCTCCAAATTTACAACTCCAAGTCCCCCAAGTCCTCCAACACCAGGCCTGAGTGCTGTGTTGAAGGCGGAAGTGCGTGAGGATGACATCAGCTTTTGGTCCAATCTCGAGAATGGTGAAGAGACATTGTGTCAAGGGGTCACCCAAAGTAAAGGTAGTGAGAATGGTGGATCTCTGGAGATCTCTTCCCTGACAGCTGTGTTGGAGCCATCCAATTCAGGAGAAAACGAAGTAGCGAGTGGCAAGGCTTCCCCGGCTGGTGCTGAGGCATGTGGAAGTGCGCCGCACACCACTCTCACATCCCTCCAGTGCTCCTTGACTGCGCTGGAGCCCTCAAGCTCCGGTGAAAATCCATCAGGTTTGAGCACCAGGGCTGAACCTGATCAGCAGGATGGTGTTTTGCACAGCAAGACCTCACTGGTGGAGCTGGCCCAGGTCAGCAGAGACAAAGAGAATCAAATGATCGATGGCCCCGGACCCAGGCCATTGAAGGACATCACCAATGAGATCCAGAATGCTAAACTTCCAACCACACCCCGGTCCCTGGCATCTTCAGCGGTAGATGTGGCGGCCATGCAACGATTGCAGTGGGAGCTGAAGGAAGAGCAGGAGGAACGAGCGGCGCTGGACCGGCAGCTGGCTGAGGTGCTTACAGCAGCTAGCATGGAGCAGTTGGCACATTCCTCCACCAAGGCAGCGTTGCGCAACAGTCAACGGGATGTGCAGAGATTACAAACGCAGCTTCGATTCAAAGATTCAGAAGTTGAGCATTTAGAGTCTGAGCTGCAGAAGTGCCAGTCGGAACTGGCAATGCTCACGGCGCAAAAGAAGCAAGCAGAGTCACAGCTGAAGGCTCATCAGGCGGAGCTCACGAGATGCAAATCCAAACCACAGAAGCTCCAGAAGCCATCAAGAGTTCCCAGCCCAAGAGACTCCCAGAGAGATTGCCGGAAAGACTCCTTGGCAGCTCCCAGTCCTTTCAACACTGATGACAGCAGTGAGTTCTTGCAACGGCGACGCCGAGAGCTGCGTTTGCAGCATGCTGAGCTGGAAGAGGAGCGGAAGCAGTGGCGACAGGAAGCCCGGCAATGCCAAGGTGATCCCAGTGAGGATTTGGTCAGGAGCAGAGTGGTCCTGGATGCTCGCGCCATTACCTTGAACAAGAAGATCAGTGAGTACCGCGCCCTGCAGAGAGCTTTGACCAGTGGAGCTTTGCAGAGTCCAAATGCTTGAGATACATCACTATGTCACTATGTTTGGCGCCAAATTTAAAAGGGAGATCCAGCAGGTCAAAAAAGGCTCAGCATGGTTTCCAAACTCACAGAGACGGCGATGGACAGAGAAAGAGAGAGATATTTTTGCTGCCAGCATGCTGTGTGCGATGCATCAAATGAAATTCACAATTCTTTTGAAAGCCGAGATGAGTGTGCATGCTCATTTAATTAGTCCCGCGGTTTGTGGCACTGCGGCCAACCTCCCTGCAGATTTACCTGCAGGAAAGAAGTCGAGCCACTGCAAAATGCTTGGGAATGTACAGCCAAGCCATGAAATTCAATGCAATACAAATCAAGTAGGCCAGCTTTTACCGCGGAACCTGTATGCTGCGAGAAGATGGGAAAAGATGCGTTCCAGATTTGTGGAACAAACTCTTGGAAGCCATGGCACGTTCAATTGTTTTCGGACTTTCTTCAGTGTGGATTTCTTAAGCTTGCGGACGCAGGAGCAAATCCTCACACGTGATTCGATTTGCTTGCCTGAAGATTCTCAACTGCTCCTGATGTCATTGATGAGGAACCCAATAGCCCTGCCGCAGAGATCTTAGGAGCTACTGAGGCGAGGTGGAACGGGCTTTACACAGGTTCAACAAAAATCTCACAGCACAGGAAATATCGACTCCCTTTCGGTTCTCCTTCAAAAGCCCATCCGATTCTTGTTGCAAATTCCGCCACAGTGCGTGCCCCCGCACAGACACAGATTCCATTGTCATCCTGGTATCGGTGTTTTGGTTGTTTTGGATCAGTGATCAATGTGCCATCTCTTTTTTCTATTCACCCTTACATTGGAGTTGATTTCTTGGGCTTGCCACAGTGCCAGCGCTATAGGCCATGAAGAGCCAGGACCTTTGGTTGGCCGCGGTGATGGTAGCTTTGAAAATGCAGTGGCCCCAGCTGAGGCAGAGATGACCTCGGCCGATGGATGATGATCTGATGGATGGATGGATGGACGGACGGACGGACGGATGGATGGATTGTATCTTTGACTGCCACTTTTGGGGATGTTATCGCCGTAGATCATATATGATAGATAGATATAGATAGACTATGTATAGAATAGAAGTTTCGAGTGGCCAGCTACTAGAAGGTCATTCCTTGAGGTTGTGAGCCCTTCATCTCCTAAAGATGAATTGAACACCATGAGGTCTGAAGCAGAGTCAGAACTGGCCAGCAGCCCAGAAAGCATTTCTTCCAAAGAGCTCTAGTGGCAGTGAACGGAGAGGCATGGCCTAGTTTCTACCCTAAGAACATGCAACCGGAACTGGCCTTGATTCAGACTTCAACTCTTCGCAATGCAAAAGTTCACCTGCGGTGTAAAAGCAGATGCCATCGTCCCTGCAGGGTGTGTTTTGTTTTTTTTTGGTCTTATTTGGAAGCAGTCTTTCAGTTGCAGTGCTGGCGTATTTATTTCGTATTCACCTTGGTTTTCTTGCGGCTCTTGTGTGCTGAGGATACCAGCATCCAAGATTTGGTGGTGCCGTTGGTCCGGAGCCTCCAGTACCGGTGCAGCATTCGATGGTGACCTGTTGTGTATCGACACGTTCTTGGATCATTCTCCCTGCAACTTGGTGCAAAGGTGCCCTTTGGTCCGAACGGCCTGAAGTGCACCCGCGCAAGGCCTTTGCAGGATTTTCTGCGGGTAGGAGTTTGCATCCCTTTCATCAAGATCAAATCTTTCTTTCACCTGTAGAGTTTCAAATCCACACTGCTAGAAGCACCAAAGTACAAAGGTAACTTCATTACAAGAAATTCAGTCTGAACTGACACATATTGGTAATGGAATCAGACAACTTGCGGAGGTGGCAGAGGATCAAACTCACAGAGTTCTTCGTAGTCCGCGAGTTGGACACGCTGATACTGGTGGATGTGGTGCTTTCTTTGGAGCTGACACTTCCGTCCTTTTGATTACAGTACCCATGGCCAAATGTGCAGGACAGCCGTCTCATGGTACCAACAGCACTTCAGTCTTGAGCCTTAGAAGGTCCAGAATACCTATGAGATCCTATGAGTACATCTCAGAGTGCTTGTTTTTCGTCTTGAGCTGCATTCTTTCCTTAAGTGACGGCCGTCTTAATCTAATCGTCGAACCCTTTGAGCTGCCCAGTTTCGTACAACACCTGAGCCGCGAAGTCCAACGAGCTGCACCTGTAGCGCCCTGAGACTGGGAAATTTGGGATCCCTTGCAATGCTGATGACGGGGCTGGCCTTTATTCAAGAGCCAGTTGTTCGCTGCAACAGAACACCACCTCAATTAAACCAAGGCTTTGTTACTCAAAGGTTGAAATTGGAGTGATGGTCGATGGAAACTCAAGCCAAAAGGAGTGCTTACATTTGAATGATCCCATTGTACTAGAAGATCAGAGTAGCGTGATTTGTTTTGTTTCTCCCTATGATGAGGCAAACTGGCCCGGTAGGGTGTCTCAGATACCTTCAATCTGGCCGTTTGGTGATGCGTCGCTGACCGCCACCGTTCTCCTTCTGTGGGACAGATGCATTTGCCAAACCATGATTTAATAGAAAGGAAGAACTGCATCGAAAGTGGTTCGGAAAGGATGGTTCCCAATTGTGTCATGTTGACTGTATTACTGGTAAATTTTATATCTTTCTGAGGGGCCCTAGCTGTTTTCGGAGGGTAGAAGGCAGAAAACACTCCCCTCAGGGGTGTTTGGAGAGAAATCAACAGTTTTTCGCATCACTCCCTTTGCACGGTAGGCCTCGAGAGCGTAGAGCTTCCCAAGCTCCTTGGCCCTCCTCTATCAAGCAAAGAACAGGAGGACAGACGCTTTTGCTCTTCAGAAACTGGACTTTGCTGGCGAATTGCCGCAGAAACAGCAGGAACAGAAGCAGAAGAATGCCATGCCATTGCGGCGGCTCACAAAGATGCAGGCTGGGTGGGGACGAGAGAATGAGTAATTCGTAGATAGATGGCTTAGATGGTTAGAATGTTAGTTTTTGCTCCTGCAATTTGTTTCACCCTTTAGCTTCTTCACAATTGTCCCCAGATGACGAAGTGATCGGAAATGCCCAGAATTTGACAGTGGAAAGATTGGGAGAGCCGCTGGTCTTGCCACTCTTTTAAGAGGCTTTGGCACAGTGTTTGGCTGACATGGCCGTGGCTAGAACCCTGGTACTTTCGGGCCTCTAGACTGAGCGCAAACGTGTTGTTCCCTGCTCTAACATTTTTGGATGCTTGCCAGCAGACAACACATGGGTATTTTGCAGCGCTTTTTTTGTATTGTATGCTGCTGAATACTTGATGCCCTTTGGATCCCTAAAGGGATCCCTAAAGGGATCCCTAAAGGGATCCCTTTGGGCCATGGCTCGGCCGGACTCCAAGGTGCACAAGCCGAGCAACGTCTATGGTGACAAGCTCTCTCCTGCAGTGCTTGCGGTCACGGCTTCTCGGATTCCTCCGCATTTGTTTCTTGAGCAGGGCCTGCGCTTTTTGTCAGCTAGAGGCTAGAGATGACTAGTGACTAGAGTCACACAAATGTGTTGTAGAGAAACGGGTTCTTGTTCAATGAAGTTCAGTGGCATTGATCATTTCTGTGCTTTGTGTGGGAAGTTGCTAGATGACTGTAGACTATCTCATTTCGCCCAATGGCTGCGGGAGTTTCTTTGCTTGGCCATCAGCAAATTTGGTGTTTGAGGTCTTAAGACTCTGCCTCTATGGTTGGGGTTGTCCACCTGCAGGCTGCGAGGTGCAGATTGAGCTGCCGCCGCATGGGATGTTCAGGGGAAATCTTCTACCGTGGAAAGATGTCGGAAGAAAAGAGATGAATATAGTGGGATGGTACTTGATTAGTGGCAGAGTAATCGCAACTAACGGGCAATGATATTTTTTAATGGTTGTGGCCCAGATCCTTAGCTCATTAGATATATTGCCATGATTATTGTATAAATTTATAGTACGACCACTGGCCATTTGGGATGGTGACCCAAGTGGTGCGAGCTCCTCTGCCTCAGCTGAGCATATGCCCGGAGGAGCGCTTAGACGAGTTGCAGGCCGCAGGGGCAGTGAACAGCCTTTCGTGCCCAACCACAAGAAACAAAAAGAGTTTGATACATGGGGGGGTCCCAAAAAATAGCGTAATGTCCATCTGTTTGGTTGTGTCTGGCAGGATGTTCACCCCTGTTCATCACTGGCTGGCCAAGATGCATCGTCTTAGCTCAAAGATTTAGATCAATAAGTCCAGGGCTTACTATACAGGGTCGCGAACTACCGCACTCGGGGGGTTAGTTAGCCCAAGGTCTTATCAATGGGATGGACTGACAATGACAAGGGATACTTTCAATATCTTTCAGTTGTAAACGGCACACCCCACATATGAACCCACCTCTCTAATCAACCAGCAGAGTCAAGAAATCCAGAGTTGAAACCCTGGCCGTTTCTTGAACCTCACGAGGAAGAGTTGGGCATCAACTCAGTACCAGAAGAAGAGCGACAGAGACTGCTGGCCCGGTTGGGACCGATGGTTGGAGTACAGATGCGGGGCATGTTGGAATTTGGGGACCTATGGTGATAGAATATTGTCAACAAAGGGATACAGGATGCCCCTAACCATGTTGTTGTGACAGCCAGTTCGCGGTTTCTTTTCTTGTTTTGATCCGGCTTGGGATGATTCACCGCAATTGATCAGCATATTTTCCGCAGGATGAGTTGAAACAGCCTGAAACTATTCACATGGCTGACGTTTTCTGCAGGGCCAATGGATGCCGAAGAAGGGTTTGCACTTTGAAGCAAGTCCTCAGTGGAATCTTGCCAGACTCACAGAGAACATCATGAAATGAACCATTTGGATGTATGTAGACATATTTGGTGGTATGGCCAAGACTGCATTTCGTGCAGGCCGAAGTTTTTCGCCTCTGGCAGCGGATGCCAGTTGGTTTGTTATCTCCCGTTGGGATCCCCAGGGTGGATGGTGATATCAGTGATATCCTATGCCCATTGACGTCTGCAACCAGCGTTACTGGTTGCAGGCCCTCCAACTTGGTGGAGAATGAGTAGCCGAGTAGCCGTGTTTTTTTCCCTGCGCCTCCACTTGTTGAATCGATTCCAGCTGAGACACTTGGGGATTTGTGAAGACGTCAGAGGTTTGTCGTTGCTGGGCATCCTTTCTGTTTGGAGGTCACAGATCGTTGGCGGAAGCGTGACCTGCTGGGCAAACTGCCTCCTGCACCTGGCCAGGAGACAGGGCGCATGGGGATTACAACCAGGCCTCAACTCGTTTCAATACATCAGGGTGATTGTATTTCTGTTTGTGACTGTTTGTGCATTTATTTTCCCCAATTTGTAGATGGATCCAGATTGATCAAGCAGCCGTAATCCTATGGAGCCTTGTGCAGGATTCGTTGCCCCCGCTGCTTCAAGAGTGTTGCTGCTTTCTCACGCCGTGCCTGGCTGGAAGTTGTGATAGAGGATGCTCAATTGTCAAGTTGCTGGCCACATCACCAAACCAGTGACTGGTGCTAATTACTTAGAGCTTAATTGGAACATGTGCCATTTCGACTGTTGGGCTGTGCTCACCGACCTTCACCTTTGCCATTACTTTGCCTCAAAACGAGGCGCAAGAAAAAGCAGGAGCCCAAAGACCTGTCTGCCACACCAGGCCTATGACTGTCCCAGTGACATGAAGCCATGGCTGACATCACTGGATCCTGGAAACTGATGGGTCACTGATTTTTCTGCAGCTGGTATCCCCTGATGCATCCGACTTGTTTTTGTTGTTGATTCTTATTGGAGTATGAGACCCAACTGCAAGGTTCTCGGCCTGTTCAGGAGGACTCACCGAGAGACCGGGGGGTTTTCTTGCAAGCTTCAATCTGACTTAAGACTGAGAGTCGATCTGACTAAGTCAAAGCTATAATGATATATATATATAATGATAATGATAACAACAACAATAACAATCATTGCAATATAGAAACGTGTAATCATGACAATATAAGTGATTCTTGTAGAAATAGCAACAACAAGAACGCCAAGTAATACCGTCCAGAGATCTGATTCGCGCCCAACGCCAGAATTTCTTCAAGAAAGTGTATGCGATCATCGGATGTGACCTGCAGGGGATAGTCTCTCCAAACGCAAGGGCCTTAGGCCACCATGCCTGGCGGGAGCTGCAGGACTTGGCTTCAACGAACAAGGCCGTGGATCTCCCAGGCAGGTCACCCAGATTCCAGCTGCAGCTCATTTCCTGCCCCAAAAATAGACATCCATTTCGCCAACCGCTGGGTCGCTTGGATGGTTGATGAGTTTTCTGGTCCCTTGGGTGCCTTGCTTTTGCTTTGGTCGGACCTCCCTGAAATTGTGACCTCCACGCTACGTGACACTCAGCAGGCACTGTACCTCAGAGTCCGGAGGCCGGTTTGAGTTGAGCTCAGACTTTCCAGTCTAGCCAGGTGAAATGGTTTGCAGCACCTGATTTTTACCCAAGAGTCGCATGTCTTTCGACCAAACCACGTGCTGTTTTTTTTCCAGCAGCTTCACAGATCATTTTGTTGATATATAATCTTCAGAATCGTCTCATGAATTTTTCTGACCCAAGTGCTGCAGATATTTTTGTATGATAGGTACGGGAGCTCTTCCGTGATATGCCTGGAGTGCCTGCTATCCCCTGTATGTCTGGAGTGCCTCCAGTGCCGGTTCCTGCTGTGGCCCCAAGGAAAGGGCTCTCACCAAACACAAATGAAGCGTGATGGGTAAGTTTACATACTCCGACCAGCGATGGGTGGAAATCACTTTTGACTTTGTACGCATGATTTGTGGGTGTGCTACCCTAAAAGAATCCCTTAACATGGTGCCGCGTGCAAAAAATGCCGAGGCCGCTGATGATGAAGCCCTCCCAGCGGTGGATGCAGCAGAGCTTGCAGCTGATCCACCAGTGGGTGAAGCTATGCCTGTGGTGGTAGAGGACTGGAATCTATCAGAGAACCAGAAGAGAAATGAATTGAAACAGGAAAGAACATGGTGGGAACGATTTAATCCACTTTTTGATGCGGGTGGGGAATTGTTTTGGGAATTATTTTTTTTCCGTTTTGTTTTTGTTTCTTATTTGAATCTGTTCTGTCCGTTTTCCCTGCAATTTGCATGATTTTGGCGCTGGAAGCTGCCATTTCAACGGTATTGCAAGATTCTGGAGTTCGAACTTCTCACCCCCCACTCATCTTCCGTGGTATTTGCAACATTTTGGTTTTGGTTTTACTTAGGGTTTATTTAGGGTACAATGAGTTGCAGAGTTTGGGTTTGTTTAGGGGTTACTTAAGGTTGTTTTTGTTTTTTTTTGGCGTTAGTTTGGGTTTATTTAGTTTTTTTGGTTAAGTTTCAGGTTTTAGATTTTTTGAAGGGTTTACTTAAAGTTAGTTTAGTTTTTTGGGGGGTTAGGGTGTATTTATATTATATATGCATCTTGCGAATCTTGCGGTTTATTTAGGTTTGAGAAGCAAAAAAAAGCAGAAAACAGCGGAGAAGCAGAACAGTGGAGAAGCAGAGAAGCAAAGAAGCAGGGAAACAGCAATCCAAAAAAATGCCCAAAACGGGAAACAAAATAATTCCCCCCAAAAATAGTTCTCCTTTTGATGCTCCTTTGTCCCACAAAGCTTCATGGCGGTCTCCAGCACGTTGGGACCTCCAAAGCTTCATGTTTCGGGGCCCCATCGATCCAACCGTGCCCAGGAGAACGCTGCTTCAGAGCCGGCGATGGATGTTGATGACGAAGTGGGCCCGTTGCTGCCGTTGCCAGAGGAGAAAGAGGAGAGTCACTTGTGGCGGGATACCATGGGATACCGGGTGCCATCCTAATTGTCCAGCCCTGGAGGACCTGGAAACGCCACAAGCTGCTCCTGAGGTGCCTGAGGCGCCCAGAGCATGGGCGCTGGTTGCCAAATTGGTGCAACTAGAAATATACGGCAGTTGAATGGTTCCTAGTAAGCTTATTATATCCATATATCGGCGCATATAAATAATCTAATATGTAATATGGGAATAGCTGTATAGATTCATATTCACATATATATATATATGATATACATATATATATATATGTAGTATATATATGTAGTATATATATATATTTATGTTTGATCTATATATATATATGTTATATATATATATATTTATGTTATATATATATGTTATATATATGTTATATATATATGTTATATATATATATGTTATATATATATATATGTTATATATGTATATGTTATATATATATGGTATATGTAATATTATATTACATATGTAGTATATATATATGTAGTGTATATATATATATTTATGTTTGATATATATATATATGTTATATTATATATATAAGTTATATATACATATATAGGAATATGATGATCAACTATAATTTTGATTTGGGGTGCGTAGTCCTGTCTTGGACAAACCCAATTGGCGTTGGCCACGAAAGGAGGATGACAAGCACCACCCGGCGGACTTGGCCGCGGTGCGAACCTCTCAGCCCAGCGAGCCAATTGAGGTGGATGATGCTGAGGTCTGAGCTCCCAGATATACACAATATCACTAAGCAATATCTATGAATCGTTATCCACCTATGTAAACCTGAAAAACCACTCACACACACACACACACGTATACATACACACAAACATATGTATATATATATAAATACATAATACGTCATGTTATGCTATATGTATTATGTATAAAAATGCTATCCTGATTCAAAAATTCAATACCGTGGCCGCAGCTTGTTAACGGCAAGAATCCCAGCAAACACAGAGACACGCAGACCTTCACACCTGCTTTGTGAGGAAGTTGCCTTTGCCTCGGCGCCAGCGCCAGCACCGGCTTCTGCTCCAACATTGGTGCGCCGTCTTTCTTGATGTATGTTGTTTAGGCTAGATAGGTTGTGAAAGCAACCATGTGTAAAGGCCATTGTTCGAGAGTCCTTCTGCATTTGGATGCAGGCGCAACCCACTTCCCGTGGAACCTTATCCCTGGTTCCCTTTGCCAAGAACCGGTCATGGCCTTGGTCAACTGCGGCATGCTGCAATGCTTTTCCTCGGATTTCTTGGATCATTTCTGAGGCCTGGGAAGTCAGGGTCCTTAGGTGCACCTGGAGGGGTATGTGTGGAAATGCAACAGTAATACTTGGTGCCTTTTTCCAGAGGCATTTGCTGCCTACAGCATCCATTTTGTCTCACTGATCCATAGATATTATCACGACAATCAACGTGAGCATTTCAAATGTCGGTCCCCCTTTGCGAATATCAAGCCACCGACAATATTATGGAAATTGTGCGGGCCATGTGCAACACGCCAAGTTGCACCATTTTGTGTCTTTTTTTCGCCAGCCAGAGCGCCGCCCGTAGCCATCTTGGTCAGCGGTTGCTAGCCGCCCTTCCTGATCCATTATCTCATTCGTGGTGCATCATGGGTATCGACATTGAGGCAGGTGGCCGCAAGAAGGTGAAGAAGCGCGAGGTCAAGTCCAAGAATCCCTACCTGCGACTCCTGTGCCAGCTCTACAAGTTCTTGGCACGACGCTCCGAGTCCAAGTTCAACAAGGTCATCTCCAAGCGTCTCAACATGTCTGACCGCAACAGGCCACCACTTTCGTTGTCAAAGCTCATCAAGAACATGGAAAACAAGGATGGCAAGATTGCTGTTGTCGTTGGCAAGGTCACGGATGACAAGCGTGTCTATGAGGTGCCTGAGTTGAAGGTGTGTGCTTTGGGCTTCACTGAGACGGCCCGTTCCCGCATTGTGAAGGCAGGAGGTGAGTGCCTGACATTTGACTCCTTGGCCATGCGCAGCCCTCTCGGCAAGGGCACGGTCTTGCTCCGTGGCCCAGTGAAGGCTCGTGAAGCTGAGCGTCACTTTGGCAGGGCTCCTGGCGTTCCCAGCTCCAAGACGGCGCCGTATGTTCGCTCCAAGGGCCGCAAGTTCGAGAAGGCTCGTGGTCGTCGTCGATCTCGTGGCTTCAAGGTCTGAGAGGCTTGCACCATCCATAGCAGAGTATCAGCGCACAGGAAGGCTGGCGTGGAAAAGTGCGAGTGGCAAGTGTTTGAGGTTTTGGTGGTCTTGGCATGTACTCATGGCTCATAAGATAGTTTGCTGTTGATAAGTAACCCCCAATGAATCCACCAGAAACAAAGACAACATGATGCTTGAACCAAGGATAGCTCCTGAACGTTTGATGCCTTGGCTCAAGCCCACTTTCGACCGAGCCAGTGGCAGGTGTTTGGCCTGCCTTTTGAAGTGACTACCATGCGGCACATCACGGTGTCTTCCGGTTATGCGCAGCCCAGGCGCGGCAATTCGACTTGGAAGCCAGGATGAGGTGCCGGAACTCCAATCCCTCAGAAGGCTGCGCTCGAAGTCATCGTTCTCGAAGTCGCAGAGTTCGGCAGGTGAAGTCCAAGATGCTCTGGCACCATACTGGCAGGCATGGCAGGATCAACCGCAAAAAGCGACGGTGGTTTTGCGGCGACTTGCTGAGGAGAAGCTAGCTTTGGCACTTGTAGTTCTGGAGTGTATGGGGCAAAGCCAAGTCGAAACCAACATCTGGCACTGGAATCCTGTTATCTTCGAAATGTCCAAGACGGATGAATGGCAGCGTAGTTTGGAACTGCTTTTGTTGGCCATGCGCTCTGAAATCCTTCCAGATATTCAGAGTTTCAGCTCAATTTGCAACGCAGCCAGCCGAGCAGAGGCATGGCAACTAGCGATAGATGCTCTACGGGAAATGTCCCGAGTGCAGCTGCAGGTAGACGAACGGATTCATAACATCATCGCAAGCAGCTGCAAATCGCAATGGGTGTTGGCACTGAGTTTGTTGGAGGACATGCCGACTTTGGGCCTGTATCCAGATGCGATCACTTTGAGCACGGCCTGTAGCACTCTAAGTGGTGCCCAGTGGAGCATGGCTCTGAATTTGTTGGAGGCAAGTGGACGCCATTTCGTGGAAGTGGATGTCACGAACTATGGCGCCACCATCGATGGGCTGGGGGAAACGAATTGGCTGCGGGTCGTAGCGCTTCTGGATAAAATCATGCGAGCAGGGTTGCAAATAAATCTGCCGACCTTCAATGCCGCAAGTGCAACTTTGACAAAGAGGTGTTGCTTGGCCATTCATCTTGATTCAGACGGAATAAAGTTCGGATGGAGTTGAGAAAGCTAACATTTTGACTGCGTTCCAAGCAATCCAACCAGTTCATTTCGGAACGGATCGCATGCTATAATACCACATTTTGTGGGGAGTGAGTACCCATTTGCCAACAATTTTTGTGGGCACCAGGGGCTTTTATTTGTTTTTTGACCCAGAAGCAATTGAAAATCATGGGCTCCGCTGAGATTGGCCCACTGCTTGCAGCCTGCTGTTGTGGATGCAACGTAGAGCTGCCATCCTGAACCAGATCACCTATACCTCCCTGGCTCGACTGAACAGTGAGGAGGCCACCGGTAGGGGGTTCAAGTTGTGTCGGATAATAAAGGGGTTATATCAACATATATAAACATGTTAAAGTTGTTAAAGGCAACCCATCAACCAGTCAGTTCGACTTTCAACATCCATGATATTCCATGATCATGCAAAGCTTACCAGTTCTGCTGGAAGGTTGAGGCATGGCAGAAAGGGATTGGCTTCTTTGACACGGCCATGAAAGCGGACTTGCGGCCGAACATTTTCTTATGTGACTTGGCTTAGTGTATCCGGACTTTGCCGTGGTACTACTTGTGGGTCATGAAAGCTCTGTCCAAATCACTCCCGACCTTTAGGACTTTTCACGACTTGCTCCAGTCGCCACTGCCCAGGCAATTCAGCCATCGCAACCTTCAATCTCAGCACCTGGGAATCTGCGCAGATTCTCTGGAGCAGCATGCCTGCGATGAAAGTGGAGAGGGACACTTGGCTCGAGTTGGGTGTGAGTCAAAATTTAAGCCCACGTATATAACCATAAACTGCAGCACGACCATCCAATTTCTGACCCTTCAATTTTGACACAGAAACCTCCGGACCGGTGCACAAACACTCGTTGGCTTCGGGGGACACTGATCTCTCAACAGCCAGACCTTCCTCTTGCAGCTGTCAGCCTACTATTCCAGCTGTCATGAGAATAATCAGGCCCACTGTGCGTTGTAATCGGGCTTATGCAACCCATCCAGTAATTGCACTTTACAGTCAAATTAGCGAACAGAGTAGCTATGAAAGAAACATGATCCAGTAGCTGCAATCTGCAATCATAAGAGTTGTCACACGCAATTACAATTCACTAGTGGCCATGAGTCAAAATTAAAAATCCCCGATCACCCCGCAGTCAGGATGCCATCTCCTATAGCTTCATGGCCTCGTAACTCATCAGAAGTTGGGAGATGGGGACTGGATGTTGCCCTGAAACTTGGTGCATTTGAGACGGATTCAACCACAGCTATACCGGCGTACTGTTGTATGATGATATAAATATGTATATATGTATATGCGTACACACTTACTACTACTAATAATGATAATAGTATTTTTACGGGATAGTAATCTATACTGTCATTACTCCCCCCTGTAAAGTGTGCCCAGTAGTACTTGTATATACCATTGACTCTATGGCTCAAGAACAAAAAGTGTGCTGCGTTTGCTGGTTGATATAGGTTGCATAACCTGTAAGCATAGGTTATCAGCCGTATCGCCAGATACTTTCCTTTTGTAGCTAAATGTCTGCCCCCTTTGGAAAACCATCTCCAGAGGGCTCGCGTGAATCCGGGATTCATCAAGCCATGGCGATTGAGGATGCAGGCAATGGCCAAACTGGAAATGACGTACCAAGTCACACAACTTCCCAGACTCCTTCAGAACGCTCCCGCAGTGATAAACGTGAAGTCCGTGTCCCGCTTCCACCAGGCGCCGTTGTGCCCCAAAGTGGAGCCCAGAGGTTTTCACACCGAGGATATGACTTTCACGCATCCCGGGAGGGCATGCCTGCCGGCTCACATCATGTACAATCCAACACTGTCGAGGTACACCACCATGAGATGACTGAAGTGAATAACACCATGAATCTACGACAGGTACAAAACAATGAAGTGTACGTGAACTCACACGACCCTGCAATTACACAGATGGTTGAGCAGGTTGCCGAAGCGCGTCATCGAGAGGCCTTGGCCAACACTGAAAATATGGTGCAATCGATGATGTCCGAAATGAGTGGTAGGTTCCATGCAGAAGAACAAGCTGCGAGTGCCCGGATGCAACAGATGATGTTGCTCGCAGAGAGTCGGGAAAATCAATTTCGTGAAGAATTGGCCCAACAAGGGGAAGTATATAGAAGGGTTTTAGACGGAAATGCCAGACAGTCAAATGCAACGAAGGAACAACAAATCCAATCGCTCAGGGATCACTATGAACGCCAAGATGAACACCGTAGAATGCAGATGTCCCAACTCGAATCCATCATCAAGCAACAAAGTGAGCAAATAAAGGCCCAACAGTTGCAAACCGAATCCATGAACATGAGGATGAGTAAACTCCTTGACACAATAGGCCCAATGCCGGTTCCAATTGTCCAAACCGCCACTGCCGTCATACCGCCATCCACTGAGGTCAAGTATTCTGCACCGTTGCCATCATTTGCATCAGCAAGTGCATCCAAACCAGCGGATCCCAACCAAGATATATGGGAAATGCTTGACGAGGATGGAAATGCACCTGTGGATAATAAGGATCCTGTCTCTGAGATAACCGGTCTTAGGTCCCCGACGTATCCACCAACAAGTGTTGCACCATCGGATGCCGGGGGAAAACCACCAGGACCTGACCCTCCAGATGATGACAAGGACTCACAGGCAGATAATGACAGCAGGCATGGTAAGGACAAGCGTGGGAAGAAGCCCCCTTCGGGGAGTCGACGCCCTCCGGGAGGTGGGCCTGGGGACGGTGATGATGATGATGGAGACGGGGATGGGTACAACTCTGATGATAGTGACCACCGTTTCATCCGTCGCATGAGAGCCATGTTTGGTAGTTCCAGGGACCAATCACATGAAAAGAACAAGGTCAAAGAAGCCGATACCGTAAAGGTACCAGCCTTTCCCCATGCGGAGTCATACAGAAATTGGAGAATCCGTACTAGGGAAGCTGTAATGTCGGCTTCAACTGACCCTGACAAAGCCTTTGATTGGATAAGTGAAACCTGGAAGGAAGGCCAAACAATCGGCAATCTTAGAGACGTAGGCAAGTTCACTACATTGGATGCCAAATTGCTTTCCGCACTCACCAACATTCTCACAGGTGACTTTGCGAGAAGGGTTGACACCTACAAAGAGACTGAAGCAACAAACCATCGTTATGTGAGAGGTCGACAGGTGCTGTTTATGATGCATGAACATTTCAGTACCAACATTAAACATGGAGCGACCTACTCACTACAGGACTTGTTCAGCGTCAAACTCAAGGGTGACAACTTACGTGGATTCATCAGCAATTGGGATCAAGTAATGGCTGGTATCCCCAAGATTCCTGAGATTAGCATTCTGGAGACTCTGTTCTTTAACCAAGTCAAAACCAGTAAAGCAATAGCACACGACTTGCAGGAATATCATCGTGCTGAGGAAGGGACCGAAAAGAAGTCCTATGATTTCCTAGTGACAGCAGTTCGCCGCTACTTGGACAGGGAGCGACTCGAGTCCAACCGTGAACGAGTTGCCAGGACCCTCGGTGCCTCGTCGTCCAGCGCAGCTCCGGCTGTGGGTGAGAAGACTGGGTACATTCCAAAGGGATACTGTGTCAAATGGAATAAAGGAACCTGCACGAATGATGCCTGCCCATTCAAGCATGAAAAGCCTCCACCAAAGAAAGATAGAAGTCAATCAAGACCCCCATCCGACCGTGGCAGATCATCATCAAGGGGTAAGAACGATAAGAGCAAGAAGAAACAGCCATGCAAGTTTTGGAAACAGGGAAGGTGCAACAGAGGCAATGACTGCAGGTTTAGTCACGAGGGTAAGCAAATCAAGTCTCCTCGTGCTGCCACTCCTGCTAGGCCTTCGTCCAATGACTCGAAAGGATCCAGACGAAGGAACAGCAGAAGTCCAGGAAAAGGCAGGGACCGCTCGCCAAAGCAGAAGGGATCAAGGAGTCCCAGGAATAGCCGTTCCCCAAAGGGGAATAGAGGCAAGCCTGAAACTCCCAAAGCTTCCCCAGCAGCAGTCTGCCTGATTGCCTCGATGTTAGCATCCGTATCCAATGCATGCCTGATGCCACCCGTTGACGTGATCGGTTGCCCAGCAGTGACGTTCGACACCAATCATGATGTGTATCAAGTCATTGCCAAGGGGGACCTTGAGCCTATCAATCCAGCTTCAAGAAGATACAAGAGAACATTTCCTATCAACTATCCATTTGAGTTTGACCGAAGAGACGTAGAGGACGCATGTTTGTCAGCGAACATGTTGGCAGGAGCAGTCAAGAATTCGTTAATGAACAATGTCTGCAAATGCAACTATGAATGTGACACCATGTTTGGTTGTGATCACTGTATTCCAAAGGGAATAGTCGCAATGCCTGCCAAATCCGAGGAGTACGTTGATGGATGTTTCGAAGCCTCTATTGATTGGATTGTTGATACCGGTAGTGCGCAAGATTTACTCACTGATCACCACGTGCCGGATCATTATATGGTTATTTTTCCGATAATCCAATCCGTCTCATCACTGAAAATGGGGAAAGTTCATCTATGAAGCAGGGCAAAGTAAAGGTCCCAGAATTGAATGCCACAGTGTCTCCGTACCTAGTGCAAAGTTCACCTCCTGTTTTATCAGTTGGTCTCAGGTGCGTTGAGGATGGGTTTGACTTCGTGTGGAGGGGCTCCAAGAATGAGAAGCCGAAATTAGTTTCACCTGATGGGAAGGTCATAGAACTTGAAGTCAGAGACTATGTCCCATATCTATGTTCCAAATCAAACCAACCAAGTGTGTCCACAGTGGCAAAATCCAGCAACAATGGTTCTCCCATTAAAAGAGTGAAAGCGATGGCTAGTTCATCCGGGCCCGAGTCAGGTTTCATAGAAGAGGAAGATTCTCCCCCGTCACCAGACCTATACGACGAAGAATATGAAGATGACGAACCCGCTGTTGTAGGTGGTAATTCATCAAAGCTTGATGACGACTTTGTACCCGACATCTCAGGCGACCCCGGTGCCGATGCGCCCTCCGATGAAGAAGGCATAGCACCAGCTGACCGGGAGGTCCAGCCTGATGAGATTGATGATTCAAGGGATGAAGTTCGTCGTGACCCGGAAATGGAAAGACGTAGGGAAAGGGGTAAGGCTGCACTCAAGGCTGAGGCTAAGAGCAAACGACACATGCTTACCCATATTCCAAAGAATCCCTACTGTGATGTCTGTACAAAGGCCAAGATGTACAAGCCACCAGGTTACTCTAAAGGAGGATCATCCATGGTCGATGCAAAGAAGTTTGGGGATCATGTCACAGGTGACTACCTTATTGCCAAATCGGACCCTGAAACCGGTGTTGATGGAGATAGGGTCGCAATGGTACTTAAGGACGTTGCCACTGATTTTCGATATGTTTACCCCGTTGCACGCCGTGACACTTCCAACACCACACTGGCCATGAAACATTTCGTTGATGACTTGGAGAAAATCGGAATCTTTTACAGTGATAACGCCCCAGAAATTGTAGCAGCTATGAGAGCTATGAAGATCAGGCATCAAATCAGTAAAGATTACATTTCAACATCCAATGCCATCGCCGAACGAGCCGTGCGGTCCACATTGGAAGGAACACGTGCCAATTTGCTTCAAGCAGGACTTCACCATGGACATTGGCCTTACGCTGCCAGACATTGGTGCATCATGCATGACACGGCACCAGATGGGACTGGAAAGGACACACCATGGAAATTGAGGTTTGGGTCAGACTTCGAAGGACCACTTATCCCGTTTGGATGTAAGGTGGACTATTGGACTGGACCTCGGAAGAAACCAAAGAAACAGATGAAGTTTGAACCGACGACTGAACCTGGTATCTTCCTAGGGTATGTCATCCATCCCGGCTTCCATTGGAGAAAAGAATTTGCAGTAGCTTCTCTAAAACAAATCAATGATGCAGATTTTGACCAATCCGTCACAGTATTGAGGGTGTTAAAGGTTTCAGTACCTGAGAAGATTGAGTTTCCCTGTCGCAAACGTGCCGATGCCATCCGAGATGGTAGCTTGAAACCAAACCAACTGTGTGATGAGCAGGATGCATTACCGCCACCGGAAGAGCAAGATGCTCAGCCTGTGCGGGAGCCAGGCCCAGTCAAAAGATCAATCACCGATATCGAAGCTGGACAGCCTGC